ATGAGAACTTATTTGATATCTCTGGGAAGTGCATGTCGATAAGAGTGTTCTTTGTCTCAAACAAGCTAGATATAGCCTATTCACATTTCCTGAAACTATGGAAGTTATCGGAGCAATACATCAGCCGCGATCACTGGAATATAATTCAAAACAGTAGTTTTTTGGACTAAAACATAGTCTTGTAATGTGTTTGAACAGCAAAGGCTACGGAACTTTGGGATAACATATATGAAACCATTATCTACTTGACTGGGTTAACACGTAGGTTGAGATTCTACTGCGGGGACGGAAAATCCTTCAGTGGCCAAAGGACCCATGGTGGCCAAAGGACCCGGGTAAGACTGTATCTTCCAACGATTCCCAAGCATATATCAACCACCTGTCTATTCATTGGTTCTCCTGATCCATCGTCAAATGCATCTCCCCTCAGAAACACTTATCATGACGCCGAAGTCCCCCGCTCAAGCCAACGGTCAAGGACAGCGCAGCGTCTCTATCGGTGCACCGCAGGCTTTGTACGAAGATCTTCTGCATTTGGTGTTCGAGTCCATGGACTGCGAAACATCCTCAGGACGTGCTACATGTGCTGCGTGCACACTTGTGTGCTGTGCCTGGACTGAACCCTCTACGAAGGTACGGTCCTTGCCCTTGTGGGAGAACGCACTCCCGCTATACAATATCCTCCGCACTGTCTCTAGACGCAAAACAAAGGAAGTAGAACTGCCCAGGTACTATGAGGAGGTGAGTTTGAACTTCCAACCTACACCTCTTGCAGTGACCGACATCCGCAGCAGGTCATTTCAACAAAAGCATACACCAATTGAACGTCCTGGAAGCGCTTTCTGCTCTGCTCCTCCTACGTCCGCAATATGTCGTTCCGGCGGGTCACGCGCGGCCAAGCTTCGCTCATTACAGCTGGTTGCGGAATTTATGCCAGCCGTCTCCGACTGACGCTCGTGCACTTTCTGCATCGTAAAATGAAACAAATTCCATAAATCGCCCTGCACTATCGAGCACCTAGTTTACAAGGTATTCGACCCTTCTAGCTCTATAAGAGCCTGAAACATGATGATAAACTCGGGGCTGTGAAGACAAGGATTAGATCCGACTAGAGTCGAAGCAAGATCTTCAGTCAGTAAGGAAAGACTATATTGCAGCAACGAACTGTACCTAGAGTCGAAGCAAGACTACAAAGGTTAAGTAAGTAACTACAAGTTAGAGGTAAAGGTAATGAAGTACTCACTCTTCAGTCAGTAAGGAAAGACTGAAGAGGGAGGACGCAATCTGAAGTCCTTATATACTACAGAGAAGTGTCCATGACTAATCGAAAAGTGGTTAGTCACATGTACCATAGTGCGATGAATAATACGATGGTGAAAGAATTGCGACGTATCGCACCATAGGATGAGTAAGAGATGAGTAAGGCATAGACCTGTCTAGACCGTTCTGGAGTAGTACGGATTGTCCTAGACAGTACCAGAAGAGTCCGGAAACATAGCTATAGTACACGAGCAGAGAGTCCCAAATATGGTAACATACTACATAAG